AAGGCTTCCCAAGCCAGACCAATTGTGCTTCAGGCCTAACCCAAACACACCATTTATGCTGAACGACTGAACTGGTTTCATCTGTTCATTTGAGTTTTTTTTCCTAAGGAAAGCCAAACTCCGATTTAATACAGGACAGTGCTCTATGGAAAAGGGAATAATCCTTTATCAGCCAATGGAAATAAACTAGGTCTTCTCCAATTCCTATTTCTGCAACTGAACTCCCTGTGAGCATGCCACGGAGCATAGACACCTATTCCTTACTGTGTGCTGTGCTGGGATTTACACCTGCAAGCAAGACTCTCACTGCTGGCCCTGCCGGGGCATCCCCAGATTGATTTGGAGGAAATAAAGCCTTGCACTTGGGAAACACAAACTAAAGGGAATTCAAAGGGGAAGGCCAGCATGGAGAGTGAAACACATGCAGGTTTCAGAGCTCTCAGCCTGGAGAGAGCTTCAGTTTACCCGAACTCTAAAATCAAGGCTGGGCACAGCTCAGCCCTGGCCCCAGATCACCCTGTCTGTGTCTCTCCCCACACAGCTCCGTGGCCCCCCTGCACAAAGCCCTCACTCCACACCTCCTGTACCGAGGGGCTCCCCCCAGGGAAAGGATCAGGAGGGCCACACGTGCATGCCCACGCCATGAACTGCTGCCCAGAGATCCCTGCCAGGCCCTTCACACGCTGACCTCGTGCCCTACGCCCGACCAAAGCACACAGCCAGCCCAACGCAGCACCCATGACACCTTGTCCCAGTGGGCATCGCCACTTCCTCGATGCCAGGACCAGCCCTAGAGCGCGTCCCTGCCAATCCCAGCCTTCGCTAAGCGCAGCTCTTGGCAATCCCAGCCCTCTCCCGCTCCCTAGCAGGTGCAGAGCCCCCCCAGCCCACCCGTGGAAGGGCCGATGTTTCCTTCCCTCCACCTCATCCAAAGCTGGCCCCAAACATCTGCCCAGTTCCTCTCCCCTGGCCAGGGGCATCTGCCTCCAGAGAAATCCCGAGGTACGCCAGGACCCCCAGGTGTCCCCCTGGCAGCCCCCCGCGCACCCCTGCGGCTCTGCCCACAGTCCCACCACCTTCCCCACACCTCCGCTCAGGAAACTCTCCCACGCAGCCCGGCCCACGGGCCGAGCCCCCAGACCCCACCCCGGTCCTTCACACCCCTCCCACTGCCACCACCCCCAAAGCCGCCCTCCGAGCCCCCAACTCCTGTGTTTCCGACACCTACGACCCCTGCCACAGGTGAGCCCCCCCGACACCTGCCGCCCTCGGGGCTGTTTCCCCTCCAAAGGCCTCCAGCACCTGTCCTCCCTCCGATCTGAGGCCCAAAGGCCCGGGGTGCCGCGGAAAGCCCGGCTTGCCCCCGAGCCCAGCCCCAGCCCAGATCCGGGTCTCCAAGAGCCCCCCAGCCCCTCTGAGCGCCCCCCAGCCCCGAGCACCTTCCCCCGCTCCTCACGCGCGCCCCAAATTCCTGCCGGGCCCCAAAACTCGGCTCCCTTCCCAAAAGCCCTTCGCCGCACTCCTGGGTCCCCCAGCCCCCCAGAGCGGCCGCCCCCGCCCGTCAGCCCCCGCCCCGGCCCCCCGGGCCTCCCGGCCTGACCCGCCCCCACCTCGCGCACGGAGGCGCCGTCCGCGATGACGATCTCCTCCTTGTCCTTGGGGGTCTTCACGGTCACGCGGATGAGCGCCCCGCCGGGCCCTGGCTGGCCGTCCCCGCCCGGCCCGGGCCCGGGGCCGCCGCCGCCGCCGCCACTCGGCTCCGCCATCTTCGCCGCCCGCCGCCAGCCCGGGCCGCCGCCACCACAGAGAGCCGGGAGCGGCGCCGCAGCGCCGCCTCGGCCGGGACGGCGCCTCCCGGCGGCGCGGAGGAACGGCGGCAGCGCGGGCCGGGCGGCCGGAGCGGGGCGCGGGCTGAAAGCGGGGCTGAGCCTGCGGAGGGGGAGCTGCCCGCAGGGCCCCGCCGCTGCCCCCTTCCACCGGCTCCATCCCCGATCCCCACGGGCACCGAGGGCCACGCCCGCCCCGTGCTCCCTCCTGCTGCCGCGGCCCCTCTGGAGCCCCGGCGCCTACGGGGACACGGCAGGCCCGGGCGGGACTACAGCTCCCGGCGTGCTGCGCGCGCGGCGCGGCCCGTGACGGCCCCGCCCGGCGCGGCCCCACCCGCGGCCCGCGGTGCCGGCGGCGGCCATGCTGCGGCCCAAGGCCCTGACGCAGGTGCTGAGCCAGGCCAACACCGGCGGCGTCCAGAGCACGCTGTGAGTGCGGGGGGCCGGGCGGGGGGCGGCTCTCCCCGAGCGGGCCCGGCGGGCACCGGGGTGACGGCGCTGCGGGGACGTGCTTTCCCCGCCCGGAATGCTTCCCTCGTACCCAGCCCGGCAGGTGCTGCCGCTGTCCGTGCCCCCGGGGATGCTGCCCCTGCCCGGAGGTGCTGCCTGCCCCTGTCCCTGCAGCGGGGGATGCTCCCTGCTCCTGCCCTGGGAATGCTGCTCCAGCCCAAGGATGCTGCCTGCCTTTCCCCAGCCCCTGCTCTTATCCCTGCTCCTGCCCCTGCCCAGGGATGCTCCTTGCCTTTGCCCCTGCCTGGGGATGCTCCTTGCCCCTGCTCCTGCCTCTGCTCAGGGATGCTTCTTGCCTTTGCCCCTGCCTGAGGATGCTCCTTGCCCCAGCCCAGGGATGCTCCTTGCCCTTGTCCCTGCCCGGGGATGCTCCTTGCCTTTGCCCCTGCCTGGGGATGCTCCTTGCCCTTGCCCCTGCCTGGGGATGCTCCTTGCCCTTGCCCCTGCCTGGGGATGCTCCTTGCCCCTGCTCTTGTCCCTGCCCAGGGATGCTCCTTGCCCTTGCTGCTGCCTGAGGATGCTCCTTGCCCCTGCTCCTGCCTCTGCTCAGGGATGCTTCTTGCCTTTGCCCCTGCCTGAGGATGCTCCTTGCCCCTGCCCAGGGATGCTCCTTGCCCCTGCCCCTGCCCAGGGATGCTCCTTGCCTTTGCCCCTGCCTGGGGATGCTCCTTGCCCTTGTCCCTGCCCGGGGATGCTCCTTGCCTTTGCCCCTGCCTGGGGATGTTCCCTGTCCCTGCCTGGGGAAGGCAAAGGGGCCGAGCCCTTCCAGGGGCACACGTGGGATTGAAACCACACACCCTGCACGGTGCTGGGCTCCATATGGTGCTGGCACTGTGCACAGTGTGTGGGGCTGGGGCCTTGCACCGTTCCTGATGTCTGGTGCTGGGATGCCTCATGCACAGTGCAAGGGCTGGGGCTGTGCAGTGTTTGTCCTCCTCATGCCCAGCCTGTGGCAGGTCCTGCTGCTTCAACAGACAGATACACCACAGCCCTGCACTGGCCTGCTCGGGCCTGGGGCCACTGCAGAGCTTTCTGGCTTTGAAGCCCCCCACCCCCTGCCAAACCCCTGCAGAGTGGGAGCATTGTGGGAGCAGTTCTTGGGACTGGGTGGGGGGGGTTTGCTCTACCCCTGGTATTGAGAGGATCTGGTTTGCCCTACCGTGTCCTTCCCAGGCTGCTGAACAACGAGGGGTCCTTGCTTGCCTACTCGGGCTATGGGGACACCGATGCCAGGGTCACCGCAGCCATCGCCAGCAACATCTGGGTGGCCTACGACAAGAATGGGCACCAGGCGTTCAATGAGGACAACCTCAAATTCATCCTCATGGACTGCATGGTATGTGGGGCTGGAGCCTGCCTGCCCTCCCTGGGGACGTGGCTGTGGTGCCAGGATCGTGCTGGGGGTCCAGGCCAAGCTGGAGTGCCACAGGTGCTGTTTCTCCCTGGGCAGGAGGGGCGAGTGGCCATCACACGGGTGGCAAACCTGCTGCTCTGCATGTACGCCAAGGAGACGGTCGGATTTGGGATGCTGAAAGCCAAGGTAATGGCTGGGGTGTAGGCAGGGCTGCATCCCTGCTTGGTGTGGGAAAGAGCTGTTGAAGAGGATTGGGATGGAAGGGCTCAGGAAGCTGCTGTGTCTGGGACTCTCTTTGGACCTTGCAGAGACTCCTCTGTCCCCTGTGCCTGCCCAGGCACCCTATCACACCTTTTTAAGGTCCTAAACTGAAATACAAATTACAATAAGCAAGTGGGCAGTGGGCACACGTGTTGCAAAACCCACCTGAGCGTGGCTCATGCCATTCTCTGCTTGCAGGCACAGGCACTGGTGCAGTACCTGGAGGAGCCGCTCACGCAGGTGGCTGCATCGTGAGCAGGCAGTGGAGGGCTCTGAGGTGCCACGGGGCTCCAGCACCGTCACCGTCACCGCCGTGGGTTGGGCGTGAGTGGCCCCATGGGCATCCTGGAGCTCTGGTGGGGTCTTAAGAATGCAGTGGCAGGAATCCAGAAGCTGGCGGGAATAAAAGTGTGTTTGATGCTTGTGTCCATTGTGTCTGTTGTTGGGGGAGCTGAGGGGTAACACAACCGGACTGGGCTGGAGGTGCCTGGACAGTGTTTGGGAGGTGCCATTGCCCTGGGGAAAAACAACAAGTTGCAAGGGGCTGTTGTCAAAGGAGAGGGGTTACGAGAGAGCCGAGCCCCTACCCAGCCCTGCTGTTACACTGGGATAGCTGGGGGTGCTGGGGGCTCCTTCCCATCCCTATTTCCCTGGCTTTCACACGATGGCAGCAGAGGCGAGGGAACATCGACAGCCGCGGGAGCCGGGCTGAGCGGGGGTTTGCTCCTGGCACGGCTGCCCTCGCTGCCGTCCCACCCCGCGGTGCCCTCGGTGCCCTGGCACCCTCCCTGCCCGCGCTGCCCATCCTGCTGGTGCTGCTCTCGCTGCCCCAGCCTGCCCCGCACTCCGATCAGCCCTGGCTCCTCCTCCGGCCGCCCCGTGACGGTCCCAGGGGTGCCGCTACCTGCCCAACCTGCGCTGCGACACCCGGTCCCACCCCTTGGGCGCCGCGCTGTCGCCTGCTCGGCCTCTCGCCGCTGTCCCGGACCCTCCGCTCCCCGGAGCCGCTCGGCCCCGCTCGCTCCCCGGCACAGAGGAGCCTCGGTGGCTCCGTCTCCTCCCTCGGCGCCCCGGGAGCCCGGCCCGCCCCGCGGGCTGCTCGGGCTCGGCAGCGGCACGGAGGAAACCCGGGGCCCTGCGAGGGCAGGCGGCGGCCGGGGCGACATGGGCAGCGCCGAGGAGGACTACAACTTCGTCTTCAAGGGTGAGTCCTGCGCTCCGTGCCAGCCCTCCCCTTCCCCAAAAGGAGTGGAGCAGAAATCCAGGGGCTGCGGGGAGGCAACGAGGGTGCCCGTTCCCCAGGGTGGCTGTGTCCTGAGCTGATGTTTTTGGTTGTCCCCGCAGCTGTGATGGGCACCGGGAGCTACGGAAGGTGAGGGGACTGGGGGCCAGGCACGGTCCGCTGACAGCAGTGAGGCCAGCCAGGGCTGGTGAGCAGCAGCAAGGTCCACAGAGACCCGGGGAGACCCTCACTCACCCCAAGGCTGAAGGCGTGCAGTGCCAGGCGAATTGCTGTTACGGGATAGTGGGGCTGTGAAAGCTGGGGCTGAGTGTGTGAGACAAATGCCACGACATCCTGTGACCCCCGAGAGCAGTGGGCATTGAAAAGTCACTTGCTGCGGTGACCTGGGCAGTGGCACAGCAGAGGACCTGGGGGTCAAAGCTGAGCTGGAGAAATGGGGGCGCAGCCTCACGCCTCCCATGCTGAGCTCCTTGGGCCCGCCTGGTCTTTGCCAGGTACTATTGGCTGGACTCTGCTGGAGCTCAGTGCTCCCTTTGGGCAAGTGGAGACAGACAGGCTCTGGTGTGCCACCTGTCCTGGGTGCCCACTGCAGCAGGGTGACCCAGGGCTCACCGACTTCCTTGCCCTGCTCCTGCTGCCCAGAGGCCGGTAACCCTGAGCCCCCTGACCAGCTCTGGGGTTACACCAGCACTAGGGAGCACAGCTGGGCTGAAGGAGTGCCCACACCAGGGGTTAAACCCACACAGCTGCCCAGCCTCTGCAACCAGTCTGGGGTCACCGGACAGCAGCGAGCGATGCCAATGCAACCAGTGCTGGTAGCTGGGGCAGTCCAGTGGGATTTCTCCTTCCTTCCACAGTTGTCCTGATCGGGGAGTCTGGGGTGGGAAAAACAAACCTGCTCTCTCGTTTTACCCGCAACGAGTTCAACCACGACAGCCGCACCACCATCGGCGTGGAGTTCTCCACGCGCACAATCCTGGTGGGAGACGCCGTGGTGAAGGCTCAGATCTGGGACACGGCCGGGCTGGAGCGCTACCGCGCCATCACCTCCGCGTAAGGATGGGAGGCCTCAAATCCCTGCCTCTCCTGGGGCTTGGGTTCAGCCCCATGGGTGAGGGTGCTGGGGGGAGCTGGAGCATGGAATAATAGTAGGGTTCTGTCACAGGTATTACCGGGGGGCTGTGGGTGCCCTGGTGGTGTTTGATATCACCAAGCACCAGACATACGATGTGGTGGACCGCTGGCTGAAGGAGCTCTATGACCATGCCGAGGCCAGCATCGTTGTCATGCTGGTGGGGAACAAGACTGACCTTGCACAGGCTCGAGAGGTGCCCATGGAAGAGGCAAAAATGTTTGCAGGTACAGGCTGGCACCCCGCCACAGGGCTGGGGGCTTAATAACCTCCCCAACAACATGGACCTGCACCAGTGCAGGTACTTGAACATCTCTAAAGGTGCTCCAGAGTGGAGGCATGTCCTCATCTCAGGGATCTCCTCTCCTTGCAGACAACAACGGGTTGCTGTTCGTCGAGACCTCGGCGCTGGACTCCACCAACGTTGAGGAAGCATTCGAGACCATCCTGAAGGGTACAGGCACTGGAGCTGTAATGCAGCAGCTCCAGGACATTGCAGGGTCCCTTTCCCAGGGATGCAGGGCTGGGCAGATGATGTGCAGCACTTCTCTCCCTGCTCCACTTGAGCTATTTGGGGCTAGTTTCATGAGGTCTTTTGGTGTTGTCTTTCTGGCTGCTTTGGTTTTCAGCCTTTGGTGCTGGGCGTTTCACTTCCCACACCCGAAGCTTTGTTCTCACGGCCCCTGGGCATCCCTGAAGCCCCGGGGGCTGCTTCTGCCCCGTAATCTCCAGTCTCCTTCCTGTTGTCTTGGGCTCATGACTTGGTGTCTCCACCATCCTGCCAAACCAGCTGTGGGGGCCTGGGGGGCCAGGGACGGAGTCCAAGAGCAGCTCTCCAGGAATGGCAGCCAGCAGCGTCCGGGCAGCGAGGTGTGCCATGCCGTGCTGAGCCATGCCAAGCCATGCGGTGCTGTTCCGTGCCATGCTGTGCAGTGCTGCGCTGACCCAGCCTGGCCCAGCGAGCTGCCAGCCCCAGCACAGGGTGAAGCACTAATCCCAGGTTGGGCAAGAGGAAATGGGCCAAGCACAGGGTGTTCCCCAAGCGCCGCAGGGATGCACGCCTTGTCCCTTGTCAGCCCTCGAGTCACCCCTGTGCTGCGTAGAGCAAAGGAGAGCCACCAGCACTGAGCAGTGGGGGCTGCAGGCTTGAAGCTGTCCCTGCATCCTCGGGGGGCCTTGGCTGACACATGGAATCCCTGGCACTTCTTTTGCAGAAATCTTCTACAAAGTGCAGAAGCAGAAGCAGAGGAGCAGCCAAAGCAACACGGTGTCACTTGCAAGTGAGAGCCCTGCGAGCACAGCCCCAGCACAGGCAGAGAGGCGCCCGTGCTGCGTGCCCCTCTGAACCTGCTGGGCACCCCGGGAAGTCCCCAGGGGACCCCACAATGCCAGGACACACCAGTGGCCACCAGCACAGGCTGGTGTCACCCCGCCTGCAGTGCCACCCCTGTCCTGGTGCGGTGGGGACCAGCAGCCTGGACAGGGGCCAAATTCTGCCATAAACAGTGAGAAGCACCAGTTCCAGGAGCTCTTCTCTCTCTTGTTTCATTTTTGCTGGGCCCTGATTAGCATCACCACTGTCACGACAGCACCCTAACAGCCCTCTGGACCTGCAGGGCAAAATGACCAGGACACCCCTGAAGCACCTCTGGGGAGGAAGCCAGTAGGTTCTGGGCAGGATCATGCCAGCAACAGGAGCCTCTCTGATTCCCTCTGGCCCTGGGGTGCTGCTGTAGGGCCACCCTGTGCCTGCACTGAGGATGAGGCTGACCAACAGGTGTCTGTCCCACCAGGGACTGCTCTGGGGTGTGAAGTGGCAGCACTCAGCCCTTGGCTGTCCCAGCAGGGCCCGGTGCCATGGGGCCGGGAGCAGCTCTGTGTCCAGCACGGGCGTGACACAATCATTAAAGGACTTGTGAAATGCAGGTTTACTGAGCTGGAATTCCTGCGTGTTTGTGGTCAACGCCCTGGGTCCCCACCTTCATAATGTGCTGAGAATCACGGCCTCCGAAGCAGCCCAGCTGGATGCCACGGCTCCCCTGTGCCCCCTCCTACCCCGGTGCCAAGGCCCCCCTGCACTCCCTCCCACCCTGGAGCCAGGCTCGTCCTGTGCCCCCTCCCACCCTAAAGCCGTGCTCGCCCTGTGCCCCCTCCCCATGCAGCCTTCCCCAGTTTAGTTCCCCTGCTTGAACTTTATCACTTCCAGCGATGACGCGGCCTCTGCCGGCTCTGAAACCCCTGGAAGCGGGGTGATCCCGCTGGATTCTCCGCGTCTGCGCTCGCTTTCCCTGTGCCCCACGCCGGACGTGCCAGCCCAGCTCCGTGTCACGCCCACGGCTCTGTGTGGGACGCGCTGTCCCCATCCGGGGCACCCTCGGGTGGCGGCCCGTCCCTGCCCCCCTTACCTGGCCCAGGTGAGCGCACCTGGGTGTGACGGGCAGCCCCGGGCGCCAATGGGTGCGGAGCAGGAAGGGCCGTGGCACCAATGGGTGCCGGGGGACAGGGACAGCCCCTGCCCGAGCTGGGCAGGGCCCGGAAATCCCAGCTGGATTTCCCAGTGGGAGCGGGGCTGCGGTGCCGGGCGAGATGCGGGGCAAGGACGATGAGTACGATTATCTCTTCAAAGGTGGGTCTGCTGCCCGGTGCCAGCCTGGCAGCGCTGGCTCCGGCAGCACCCCCGGCGTGGCACTGGCATCTGGGGCTCGTACTGGGATGGAGCACGCAATTCCCAGTTCGCGGGACGGGAGCGGGGCTTGCTGTGCTGGAAGGGGCGCTGGGGCTGAGGCGGTCGGGGGTTCGCTGGAGCTGCTCTGATGGTTTGTGGTCCCCGTTCTCGTTACAGCCGCTCTAGACTCTGCGGGAAGGAGCGCAGCGCCCTGCAGGGTGGCTGTGCCCACGGCAGGGTGCTGGGGAAGGCTGGTCCATGGGACTCTGTGCGTGCCGTGTTGGGCCCTGAGCACCCGTGGGTGCTCTGCTCTGCGGCACTGGGTGAAGGGAGCCCGTCTGAGAGCTGAGTAACCTCCCCCAGGAGAGAAAGCCATGCTGCTGCCCAGCTGCAGTGGAGGGAGAGCATCCAGGGATCCAGGCTGGTCCTTGCTGCTGCTGGTCATGCTCTGACCTCACTGCTGGGCCCGGTGCGGGACAGGGACGGGCTCTTGGAGACGCAGCGTTGGCATTTCTGGAGCCCAGCATCCCCATGAAGCAGCCCCATCCCTGTGCGTGCCAGGCTTCCCTGCAGGCTGGCCAAAGCAAGTGCTGGGGAAGCAAAGGGGCATCTTGGCAATGCCACAGCCTCCTGAGCCATAAAATCCAGGGTGTGAGCTCACCGGTGGGTGGCTGTGAGTCAGCCTACCCACACGGGCCTGCCCGCAAGGCCCCGAGTAATTCTAGCCACCGACACGACGTAATTCCAGCCAGCCATGTGCTGGTGGCCCCTGGCTCCTTGCACACCTCCCCTGGCTGCTGCCCAGGAAAATCCTCCTCCCTGGAGTTCCTCTGGTGTAGGGGAAACTCTGATGATGCTGAGTGGTGCCTTGAGTAGGATGCCCAGGCAGGAGCTCTCCCAGCTGCCTTGTTCTGCACTTCCCACCCGGTGCTGTGCCAGCTGCGTGGCTCTGAGGGGGCTTCAGCTCATAGTCCTCCTGTGTCTGACCATCCCCTGTCATTCTACAGGAGCCAGGGCTGGGAGCAGTTCAGCACAGGATTTCATTCCCCTCCTGGGTCTCACGGTGGTCTCTGGAGTGTTTAAAAAATAGAACTCAGTTTTCAATGCAAGGGCAGCTGATGCCTCCAAAGCAGGAGCAAAATCGAAGGGGAATGCAGGTCAGGGGCATGGAGCTGCTCCCAGGGTGCAGCAGCTGTGAGCCCAGCCTCCCCGTGAGGAAAGGGAGATTGTCACAGCAGGAAGCAGCATTATCCGAGTTCCACTGAAGTGGGAGCACCAGTTGTGGCAGAGCACAATGCACGTTCCAGCTGTGCAAGACCCCTGGGCTGGAGGGGCTCAGGATGGCTGAGGAGCAGCTCTGGGCATGGCTGCTCCTCAGACCCTTCCTTGGAGCCCTGTGTGGGGCTCCAGGCTGTTTCCTACACTGAGATGTGGTGTGCTGAGGATGTTCGGAGGCAGTGAGGACAAAACGTGTCAAGTGCTTTTGTGCCTGGGGTGGGGGGTGCTGCTCCAGCTCCTGGAGCCACTCAAGCTCAGGGACAGGAGGCTCATCACCCCCACAGGCTGCAGCACCCTCCCTGCATCCCTGGCGTGGTGCAAAGCCCTTGGAGCCTGCCGTGGAACATGGCACTGCCAGGGTGAGGATGGTGGCAGTTGAGCTGGGGAAGCAGCAATTTCCTGTTGGTAAAAAACCGAGCTCACATCAAAACTTCGGAGCTGGGAAAGTGATCACGAACCCGGCCTGCATTTCCTACTGCCTTGTCCAGGGTAGTCCAGGCTGCTGTGGTCCTCTCAGAGCTCCCTGCAGTGGGCAGCAGCTGAGGAGTCTCCCCAGCAGCTGGGCAAAGGGGGGATTCTGCCCCTCTTTGGTGAGACCCCCCCTGCAGAGCTGCCTCCAGCTCAGGGACCCCCAGCACAGGAAAGGTGTGCAGCTCCTCAAAGAAATCAAGGAGGCCACGGAGATGCTCCAAGGGCTGGAGCCAGGCTGGGAGAGCTGGGGATGCTCAGGCTGCAGAAGAAAAGGCTCTGGGGAAACCTCAGAGCCCCTTCCAGTGCCTAAAGGGCTCCAAGGGAGTGAAGAGGGACTTTGGAAAAGGGGGGGAATGGCTTCTCCCTGTCAGAGGGCAGGGTTAGATGGGATATTGGGAAGGAATTGCTCCCTGTGAGGGTGGGGAGGCCCTGGCACAGGTACCCAGAGAAGCTGTGGCTGCCCCTGGATCCCTGGAAGAGTTCAAGGCCAGGTGGGACAAGGCTTGGAGCAACCTGGGACAGTGGAAGGGGGTTGGGGTGAGATGGGCTTTACGGTCCCATCCACCCAGACCATAGTGTGAAGCTGTGGAGGAGCTGCCCTTCTCTCAGCTGCTGGCTGTGCTGACACAGTGATTGCTCCCCGTGCTCTGGAGCCTTCCAGCTTCCATCAGTGATCCCAGAGATCTGTCCCATCCCTGCTGGGCCTCCTGGCGCCAGGCTGCTTGGTGGCTGCCCTGCTCTGAGGGTTTTGTAGCAGGGTGGCTGCACTGTCGGAGGCTTTGCACCATGCAGGGGAGCCATGTCTACGAGCTGGAGCTGGTGGAAAGGAGTTATCCAGGACGTGGAGCAACATCCTTGCAGGGTGGTGGCTGCTGAGCCTCGGCTGAGTGTGGCAGTGTCTTGCTGAGGCTCCTGCAGCGTGTGGCATCCCAGTGGCCCCTTGCTGGTGCTGCTGTTCCTGTGTCCTGCCCACCGTGGTCACTGGTGGTGTTGTCCAAACCTGGTGGGGACACATGTCCCACGGGTGGGTGAAGTGTCCGAGTACAGCCGGGGAATGAATAGGATTGGCAGTGAAGGAATTAAAAATAACTTAAAAAATAAAACCAAAAACCTGTTGAGTCATAAACTCAACAAACTTGACTGGGGAGGTGTGTGATAAAGCTCCCCAGAGCTTGTTTCACCAGGTTTTACAGGAACCAGCCAGATCTGGGACAGGCACAAAATGCATTTAACCCACACCCAGGGACTTCCCTGCTCATGGGCTGGACCAGCAGCCGCAGAGGAGGATGCTTCCTTTCAAACCATGTCCTCCAGTGTGCCCACAGGGCTGGAGGGCACACAGGGTTGTCAAGAGGTGCCCCAGCTCTGCCTGGCCTCTGGCCTGGCTCTCCCTGCATGGGTCCTGACCCTGGTTTTCTGCCCATTTTGGGTATATCAATGCATGTGGTGCTTTCCCATCCCCAGGGATAAAGACTTCTGCTAACTTCCTGGTGATGGCAGGGATTTTCTCAAGGGGTATTCACGGTCAGTGATGCTGCTGGGAGGAGGGGAGGCAGCTGGCCCTGCTCTGCTTCACCCCTCACCTGCCAGCTCCTCCTGGATGAGACAGAGGTGGGGTCTGGGCAGGTGGGGAGGCTCCCATCCCTGCCAGGCTGTGGGGTGGGTGCCTTTCCTGGTGGCTGGGGGAGCTGACGCTGTGTTTGTGCCCACCAGTCGTGCTCATTGGGGACTCAGGGGTGGGCAAGAGCAACCTGCTCTCACGCTTCACCCGCAACGAGTTCAACCTGGAGAGCAAGAGTACCATCGGCGTGGAGTTCGCCACGAGGAGCATCCAGGTGGACAACAAGACGGTGAAGGCTCAGATCTGGGACACGGCCGGGCAGGAGCGGTACCGCGCCATCACCTCCGCGTGAGTTCCCTTGCTGCCAAGGCCCGCCTTGCCCGGGGCCCTGCTGTGACCCTGTCCCCTCCTGTCCCCCAGCTACTACCGAGGGGCAGTGGGAGCTCTGCTGGTCTATGACATCGCCAAGTACCTGACGTACGAGAACGCAGAGCGCTGGCTGAAGGAGCTGCAGGACCACGCTGATGCCAACATTGTCATCATGCTGGTGGGCAACAAGAGTGACCTGCGGCACCTGCGGGCTGTGCCCACCGACGAGGCCAGGAGCTTCGCAGGTATCTCCCCCATCCTGGCCAGGCCCTCCCCATCTGCCTGGAGCTCATGGCGCCCACCTGAGCTCACTCTGTTCTTGTAGAGAAGAATGGGCTGTCCTTCCTTGAGACGTCTGCCCTGGATTCCACCAATGTGGAGACAGCCTTCCACAACATCCTCTCGGGTAAGGGGCAGCCAGGAAAGGGAGGGACAGGAGGAGAGATGGCTTTGGACACTGTGTCCCCTCAGGACACCCCTGGGGGCCTGGCTGTCCTGGGTGGGATCTGGGTTGGAATCCTGCTCCCCTGGATGGGGAGAGGTGAGCATTTGCCCCGCTGGAGCCGTGTGTTTGTGGAGGGAGCAGATCCCCCACTGAAACACTTACCTAAAGAACGTTTTCACTTCCCCTCTCTCTGCTGGCAGAGATCTACCGCATCGTGTCCCAGAGGCAGATCACGGGCCAGGCGGAGTCGGAGTTTGGCCCCGCCACCACCATTGAACCCATCCAGGTGCTGCCCACGCAGCAGGAGGGCCGGCAGGCACCCTGCTGCCAGAACATCTGAGCCCCTGGGGTGCCCCCAGCGTGACCCCCCAGCTGCCAGCACATGGTGGCACCCTGTGTCCCCCCAGCCTGCACCTCTGCCCGCCGCAGCTCTCCGAGCAGTGCAGCGAGCTCTGGCTGCTCTTGCGTGTGCCAGCATCCTGCCCGTGTGCTGCTCTGCCTGTCTTTATGTAGGACAACAAAACCGGGGGAGGCAGAGCATCAGGGGGCCTCCCCTCTCCCCCCGAGGCTGGGGGCTTGCCATCCCCCGTGTCCCTGCTCCCTTTGGCCCTGCAGGCACAGTTGCTGGGTGACTGGGTGGCACTGAACGAGCCCGAACGTGGCGAGTCCCTGTTGGGTGACGCCCTGTGTGCAGCCCTGTGGCATGGGTGTGAGGGGGACACTGGGTGCCTCCTTCTCCCACCCGGTGAAACCAGCAGGGATGTGGCTGGTGGTGCCCAACCCTGTCCCTGCAGCACCTCTGGGTGCCGCTGGGGCCATCCAGGGAGGGGTGTGGGGGTGACACTGGTTTTGTGTTGTGACCCCCTCCCTGTGGCATGACCCCAGCAAAGGGCAAAGCTGTGACTCTGCCATGGAAAGAGATGGGAGCAGGGGCTGGGCCTTTGGGAAGCCCCGAGGAGGGGACAAGGGGGCAGCAGGGATTTGAGGGCTGAGGGCAGGGATGAGGTGCTGAGGGCAGACACATGGTCCCTCTGCACAGCTCCCTGTGCGGGAGCCGGTGGCAGCACTGGGGACCCCCTCCAGGTCCCCCTGGCGTAGCTCAGCCCTTCCCTGCTCAAGTGTTTGGCCACTGTGGCTGGTGGCCCAGCCTGGGACATGCCACCACTGGATGGAGTGCCTGCTGCAGCAGCAGGGTGACAGTGGCCTTGTCCCCTGCCTGGGGGACAGCAGCCACCTCCCAAGGTGGGCATCACCCAGGGTACCAGGACAGACTGTGCTGAGCCCGTGCTGCTGTCGGGGTGATTGGCAGCCATCAGTCAAGAGGGGTGCAGGTGGGAAGGCTTGAATTGACCCAGTACTGGGAGTGTGGCCTCTGTTGTGTGGGGTTTTGCGGGATCTCTCTCTCCACAGCTGCCCCCAGACTCTGCATCTCACTTGGTTGTCCCAGTAGGACCTGGGCCATGGTTCCCCTTGGGGCATGATTTGTTGATAGAACAGAAATTGAGGCAAAATCCCCAAATAAAGCTGCTGTTGAAGCCTTTCCTCTCTCTGCCAGATCTCTCCTTGAGGCAAGAGCAGTGCCAGTCCCACATGGGGCAGCTGGGAAGCATCCACAGGCAATGAAGGGTGAGGAGGAGGAGGAGGGCTGTAACCTGGGCAAGGGGGTGTCCTGCTGGGAGGCCAGAGGGGAAAGCTTGAAATTCAGGATTAGAACAGATGGGATCCTGCTGCTGGCCCGGGGCAGGGCAGGGATGCACAAATGGGGTGCAGAAGCAGCCACACCATATGGGTGCCCCTTTTTATCCACCCACTGCAGCCACCCCAGCCCTGCAGCACCTCAACCTTGGCTCCAGCCCCTTGGCACTGTGTCCTACACCGAGGCAGCCCCATCCCTGAGCTGGCCAGACCCATTCTCTGTAATGCCCTGGGTCTGACTGCAGCTGGGTCTGTCCCCAGGTGAATGGTGGCCCCTGCCCCACAGGCTGCACTTCACCCCCTGCCCACCTCAGCTGGAAAAGCCCTGGAAACGTGCAGGAGCTGCCAAGCACCACCTCCTCCCACACCATCTGCCCACAGCAAAACACGGTGCCAAGAGGTGATGTCAGCCCCACCGGCTGGGGAGGTGGGCACAGGGGGATGGATGCTGCTCCACAAAGGGCCAGGGCTGAGCCAAGTGTCCCTCGGGCCTCACTGCCATTGGATATGCCATCACCAGTTCATTCAGACTCATGGAGGCGCTTTGGGGCTCGGCAACTCAGCTTTGTTCCAGGCTTTCCAGTTTGTGGATGTTTTCTGCTGGGATGAAGAAGTGGGAAGGGTGAAATGTGGCACAGGGTGGCTCACACCCGTGGGACCCGCTGGCCCCAGCTCCGGGAGAAGCAGCTGCCTCAGGAGGCTCATCAGCCCACAGGTGCTTTAATGAGCCCCAGAAGTGCTGCCAAAAGCAGGTGAGCAGTGGGAGACGCAGGAGGGGTGGCAGAGGGAGGTCCAGCCCCACTGCCCTGGAACTCAGCCCAGCAGGGCCTTGTTCTCAACCACTGCTCCTGCCCCTCCCTAAAGTATGAAGAGACACAAATCAAGAGCAGAAACCAAGTTTCTTAAGTAATAATACTTTAATAAAATTAAGTTCTTAATGTAATTTAGCACATTTAATACATTAACCCTTTCCCTTCTTTGTTTTCTACAAGTTGTGCAACATCATTATTTTAATTTTATTTTATTTTAATTTTTTTTTTCCTTCTCCCATTATACTATATGCCTCAAAACTCAGACAACAAGCCTAACTCTACTTCTATGTTCGGTTATATCTCTCTCTCAGGCCTTTATTTTTGTGTAACGCCAGAGAGATGAAAATACCTGGATGGAACATGTGATCGGTTTCCAATAGTAACAATCCCGACTACAGGTTTCCTATGATGTTAAAAGAGGAAAAAAAAAAAAAAAAAAACCAAAAAACCAAAACAAAAAAAAACAAAAGCCTTTCCTCACAAAAATTGAGCATATGTGGGTGACTTGAAACCTCACTGTGAGAGATGATCCAGCCTTGACAGAAAGCAGAGATATTAAAAGTAAACTCTCCTTGGGCTGCCCATGCACCTAATGAGGCTTTTCATCTTCCCTGCCCCGTTTTATCTCTGCTGTCCCATTAATGTCCCTTCTTCTCCTGGTGGCTGCTCCTCACATGCTGCCCATTA